GATGGAAAGGAAGGAGCGGGTAATAGAGGGTTGAGAAGAGGCGGGCGAGGAAAGGAGAGAGAGAGAGAGAGAGAGAGAGAGAGGAAGAGGAAGAGAGGAAGAGAGGACACACAGGAGGAGGCGGAGGAGCAGCAGAGGTTGTTAAGATCAACTGCAGCAAGCAGCGGGAACCGGCAGCGACGACGATCAGCACACCAGCCATCCCAGCCCTTAGTAGCAGCGCACTCTCTGGACCAACTTCCGCGACTCATTATGGCTTGCACAACAAATTAACGTGACGGGCCTCGACCCCTGGTACACCGGCGTCCTTAACGTGGCGCTTGTTAATGAACTCGACAAAGAGAACGAGAAAAAAGCACGCGATCTCTCCCCCGATTCGCCTCCCCCCCCCCTCGTTTCCTTATCTCCCCCTCGCCAATCCTCCCCTCTCTTTCTAATCTCTTCCTCTCCATCTCTGTCGTCGGCTCCGCCTTGCCACCGACACCCCACCGAGACGTAACCCTGTACACTGTCGTTTAAGCGAGTTAACAAGCGATCTTTTGTCGGAGGCCTGGCCTTTTTTCTTCTTCTTTTTTTTACTGCCTCCGGTATTATTGCTCCTCTGGGCAAGAGAAAGAGAGAGGGTGGTCTTGTTGAGGAGGGGATCTAAGGGGGAGGTGCGATTCGGATCGACAGATTTTTCATCGAAATCGAACGTGGCGAGAGATCAAATCGAACATTGAAAAAATTACACGCGAATCTATGGTATATTATCGTGATTTTTATCGGGATCTATAAACGATTATTTATGAATTTCTAATTTTTTTTTTTTCTTCAAGCTAAACTCTGGACGTGCTCGTTTCATTTTTTTTTTTTTTTTTTTTTTTTTCACAAAGGCAAGGACGGCGCAAACATAACGATAAAAGCGTCAGTTTTCACTTGCGTTTCGAAACGCTAGACAGGAAATTTTAACTAAAGAGGTCAATATAATAACATCGACTATAAAACCCTCAAACATAAACCTCGAAATTCAGAAAACGTTCTCCGTTACGGCGAAACGAAATGAAACGAGCGATAAAAAGAGAAATTTCACGGTGCTAATACCTGTACAGTTATCGTAAGCGAAACGATGAAACCAACACTTGGCTGGAAATATTTACGAGGACGTTCATAGAAGCCGGTATTCGTTAGCGTGGAACAATGCGTTTAGTGCATGTTACACGCAATAATAACGTCCCGGGGGCAACGAAATCTACATTCCACGGTAACAGAAATTATGAGGCAGAACGTGTCTTGGTATACCTCGCCGAGGAACAAACGTGGCTCGT